AAAAGACTATATCTTCTGAAACAATCTAAGGTCTTCAAAACAAGTTTTTGAAATTAGTCTTGAATCACATCTTCACAAAAATAATGACAACTGAGGAGATAAGAATAAAGCATGATTTTATGGAACGAAAAAAGAAAACGGATGCAACTGAGAAAAACAAATATGAAATAATTTAACGGAAAGGGAGAACAGGGGGGGGGGGGGAAAAAAAAATGATAGATAATGCGGGAAAACATAAACGCTTAACAATGAGTGCAACAGAAAATTATGATGATAAACAAATCAAAACTGTAGCAAAATTAATTGAATAGAAAATATCGCTTTTCTAAACACAATTAATGAATTAATGAAAAGGCAATATAAACGAACTGGACAATTATATTGCAAACCACCAAATTCGATTAGCCTATTTGGTGAGCAGATATTTTCAACATGAGATATCTTTCCCAGGCACGTAGTAAAGCAGTAATTATAAGCGATAATGATGGATGGATAGAGTGACTGAAAATCGAGTACAATAACTGGATCGCGATAGAAACCTGACTCTGGTTCCATAGTTAATGGCAGTGTTTCTGGTGAGCACATTCTAGAAAAAAAAAAGAATTATCAAAAAAATGAAATAAGAAAAACAAAAAAAAAAAATAGGATTAAATCCAGCACATAACTAGCAAAACTTCCGTGAAGCAATACGTCATTTTAGAGTAATACGAAACATACGCTCCTCTTTGAGCAGGGGAGATACTGGGAGCAACATATTTTTCTTGACGTGCGAGCCTCAAAAGCATTGATTCAACTCGAAATTGCGAACCACGTGTCAATACTTCATTGAACTAAATTCAAAAGCTTTCAAAATATGACTTTTAAAATATGATCACACAATGATATGATATAATAGTTCTAACTACTAAATACAGTTGAAAATACAGGTGAAAATACCTGTATACCATAAAGACGTGCCATTTCCGATGTCTTCGTGAAAAAATCCAATCGTAGAAGAATTGAAAGATTCAACTGACAATACAGCTTCATATGCTTCAGAACCAGGATACTAAACATCTTACAATGTTTGAAGTAAAACTCAAACAGTGTTTAATGCCATCCAAAAGTTACTATTTGAAACGTTATTGATGTTCAAATCTTATTAACAATAATTATCATTGAGAACAACTGGCTTTTGACTCCGTCCTTCTCACTGCTTTATCAGTCACCCTATAAGCTACTAGATCCTTTTTCCTTCTTTCGCCTTAATGAAAGGTATAATATCTCTGGTATGATAAAGTTTTATGGCTATACTGCGCATTATTTGGTAGACAACATAAGACTGCTTAAAGGTAGCACTCACGTCAAAAATTAAAAACATGCCGTCTAAACAACATGATACTTTAAGAAACAAAAAACGAATTACATCAGATCCCTTTCACCAGACAATATCCAATCTAAAAGCGTCTGGAAGCTGTAGTGAGGAAATCTTCGCTTCAAAACGTTATTAACCACATTCGAAAGAGTATAATTCCTGGAAAGAAGGAACACGCATTTGTAAAAAATATCAATAATAGTGGTATTTCTACCAGCATTATTATTAGTGCAAAAATAACTGCATTTTTGGATCGCGAAATTTAAATGATTGGAACTAGTCCTATATATATTTGCATTAATTGACTATGAGCAAAAACAATTGTGAAAAGAAGGAATTTATATCGAATGATGACGGTGAAACGAAGTTATGTAACGATAGTGAGGCGTATGTGGGTACATGGCAAAATATGAAAAAAATTTAAAATTCTTATATTCAAATAAGATGAAGATCTAACCTTAGTGCAATTTCGTGTCGAAGAATACGCCACACATTTATAAGTATTCTACCTCTTGGAGTTGGATCTAATTCTTTTACCCACCGACTTTTTTTTTGAAGCCCAGGACGGTAATAGTCACTGATCTCTGCAATAATAAAGGTGAACTTATATGGCATAGTAAATAAAACTTTGTGAAAACAACAAGATGATCCAAGAATTTCATACATGCTTCTTGCTACTATCTCAAATGGATACATCAGTGATCATCAATATTTTAATTTATCCTCCTATTAATCGACTGTTAGTGGTTAGTTCGTTTAATTCCAGATCAACCAAATTTTCATTTACAAAGTAATGACAAAGAAGAACGTTCAAAAAACCTCCGAAGTCATCATAATACTATTTCCCTCCTTCTTTCTCCCCTATTTTAATTCTTTTCGATCTGAAGAGTTCGTAATTTCACGACAATTTTTTTTGGCGCTTTGAATAAAAGAATTAACTGTTAGGCATCTTCAAGCTTCGTACAAGTTTCTAGGAC